ACAGAGGAGAAAAACTGTTTATAACATGTATGACATCCTGGCTAAAGTAGTCCAGTTGATAATGACAATAGTTTCATAGACAGCTTAACTACTGATAAACTACGGTAACAATTAACCTGCTACCTCTGACTACAGGAGCAAACTCTAAAGTTATATATCAGAATTAAACATATACAGTGCACTTGTACAGTAATTTTCCCCTTGGGGTAATTTTACCTTTCTGCAGGGGAAGGGAGTTAAAATGGGTAGGGGATAGGCTAAAGTGATAAGTGAGATCAAATATAGTAGAGTCAAGTCTGGAGAGTAAAGGATGATCACTTGAGTCTTGGAAAACTGTAGGACACAAGAGAGAAAGAATGAAATAGAATATGAAGGAGTAGTCAGAAATGGCAGAAACAATGTTTATTCACTTTCAAGTTTAAATTCTAGAAGCATTTGATGAAAGAGAGAAAGAGGTTCTCTAGAAGAAAACAAAAAGGGAAGACACCTAAACATTGAAAAAAAAGAAGGAAGAAAGAGAATGAAAAAGAAAGAAAAAGGAGACCAGAGGAAGAGAGGCGAAAAATAAAGAAAAAAACACTCAAATGCAAAAATAACTACCAAATACAAAACAAAACAGGATGACATCCAACCAGACAGGAGAGGGATAGCCAATCAGACAAACAAGGGAGAATGAAAGTAGTAAAATACCTCTGATGTTTACAGTTCTGTGAAGTGTTCATATTTAATCCCAGAAATGTGCTGGGTATTGAGCTGATCTCGGCCTCTGAATGCAGGGGCTGGGACTGGGCTTCTGCTGGTGGACATCTCCAAAGTCCAGCTACTGGCTCCTTGCTGCTGCTTCAGACACTTCCATGTTGCTAGTCTTGCTGATTCCTCTGCCCTCCAAAGGCATGTGTGTGCGCCTGTGCGTAGAGCCTGCTTATTGTCCTAGGCCTCAGGTATTGGGGTTCTGATTGGTCCACCCACCACAGGTGCGTATCCTTACACTCTTCTTGCATACATTGCCTTTCCAGGGCAATGGAGGAAGCACAGAACATTGGACAGGCCTTGCTGTCCAATGGATAATAAAGGAACCACGGAGCACAGACTCACATTCCTATCGAAGGCCCCACTGTCCCACAGATAATGGAGGAAGTGCAGTGTGGGCTTACACTCATCTCACAGATCCTGCTGTCCCAGAAATAATGTGGAGGAAGCACAAAACAGGGGCTCACAATCCTCTCCCAGGCCCCACTGTCCCAAAGATCAATCTTAGTTTTAACTCTATAAACTTCACTTTAAAAGGTAGACGTACTTATAGCATATATTGTTATATATATATATATATAAACACATATAACCACATATATGTTATGTGATAAACTGAGATAATAGCTGTTTATTGAACCATCATAAACTGATTATCGAAAACATTTTATAAGCCAATATATGATTTAACTTTTAAAATTCAATTTTAGTAAGCAAAAGTTTAACAATGGAGAACACAAAAAAACTAAGTACAAAATAGAATGCCTAGTTCTAAATCTAGTTTTTTAAGTTTAACCAAGAACATCTTAATATTTTAAGAAAGCCTCAGTTTTCCCCATACAGAACTTAAACTTTTGATTATAGTCAGCATGAATATATTATAATAATAGATTTTTTTTTTTTGAGACAGGGTCTCACTATGCAGTTCAGGCTGACCTTGTGCTCACTTTGTAGCCCAGGCTGGTTTTGAACTCACAAGGATCCTCCTGCCTCAGCCTCCTGAGTGCTGGGATTACAGGCATGCACCACCACACCCAGCTTATAATAATAGATTTAATAATGTTTTATTCAGTGCTATTAAAACTGATAAATTGATTATCAATGAATAAAAACTGAATAAATTTATTTCAGGCAGCTGCTCTTTTATCCACCAAGAGTCTTATCTAGCAGCTTCTCCAAGCCCACTTAGTTATCTTAATAATTATTTTAGATGACATGAAAATCAATCATAATAATGAAAACATGCTGGGGAGTGGGTAAGCCCTACGCAAAGCACAAGAGCAAATTGCTCCTCTGAGAGTTGTTCTCCTGTGTTAAAGGCAAACTGTTTTTGCAAGCTGCATTAGCTTGACCTCCTGCTTTCAAGCTTTTGCTTAGACAAGAAGCCTGGGACCTGAGGTGCTCGTCCAGAATGTTCCAAGGCTAATTGCCAGTGAACTGGAATAATAACAGGGCCTGAAAGAACTCTCTCAAACTTTGACCTTTATACTTTGTTCCCTTGTTCCAGCACAATAAATTTATCAAGCCATATCTGAAGAGGCAGGGTCCATCATACGAGAGAGAAGTCCACATCTGTAGCTCAGCTTTTAATGGAGGCTTACGAGAGGGCTCCATCGGTGTCTCAGATCACTCTGGGACAGAATATCAGGAAGTTATTGAGAGAATATTACCTCTCACCTCACAGAGGAGTGCAGGTAGAGATGACGGATAAGTGGAGACTTCTCTCCTGGTTACCCAGTTGGGCTGTTGGGATCCAGCTTCCACTGAGAAGCCTTTGGGTGCCCACTGGGGAGTTGTCTCTACCATGGCCTGTCAGTTGACCTCAGCTTTCGCTGGTTCCATGCAACTAGAGGTCTGTCTCTGGAAAGCAATCCACTTGCCTGTCTGGCTAAAGTTCCCACTGGCTTCAGTGATAGATTAATCAGAAGGTGTTGAGAGACCTGTCCTCTGCTTTGAGAGTGGTAGGTGCTCCAAGAGTGCTTAACTAGCTGAGAACCCACTGTTTCTTAGAGTTCCATAAAGAACAGACAAAGACTGTGTGCATGTATTCCATTCCAGCCATTCCTCCATACTTACCTCTCCATAGAGAAGATGAGCGACCTGTGGAGGGAGCCAAAAATGTAACCTGCTCTCTCTGCTGTGGTTCCTTCTTTTGGCATGAGGAAGACAGACAAAACAGCAAGTAGTGGTGAATGAACACGTGCATGTTTAGTAATTAGGAAGAATAAAAAGAAGAGCCTTCTCATTGTTGGGGATGAGGGGTTTTGAAAGGCAAAAAAACCATAAATGTTTAAGTCCAGGGGCTTTTATAGCTTTTGGTACAGCTGAATGTGACAGAATGCAGGGGTATTGCTCATTGTTGCCAGGCTTTTGGTATCCAGAAAGCTGGCTGTCTTGTTTGTTTGTTTGTTTTCCGGTACTGGGAATTGAACTCACGATGTTGCGCTTGCCAGGCAGGCACTGCGCCACTGAGCTAAATCCTATTCCATCCCTCCAAGGTTCCTTGCAGTTTGTTTAGGAAACTGTTCTCTGTCATTTGCATCACATTAGGCCCTGACAGTTTACGGGGTTAATTATTAGGGTCCTTTGTCAACTCACACAAGCCCTGACTTTTAGTGTACTTCTGGTTAAGTACTCAGGACCTGTGCCCAGCCTTCCTGCTATCTCCTGGCCCCCATAAGGCTGTCTTTCCCCCAATGTATGTATTTGGCCCCTTGGTCACAAATGTATTGGTTATAATTGTGAGAGCTATTTTATGTCCTCTGCTAGGAAAAATGCTGAGAAATAAAAGATTCAAGGAAAGGAATCAAGTGCCACAATCATGGACAGGTTTTACTGGAGTTACAACCTGAGAGGGCTCCATCGGTGTCATCTAAAGTGGACTATAACACATGAGATGGTTTCTATTCATCATAGTTACATGACAAAAATGAGTATTTTGGTTTTACCTGCATTTCTTTTATTACTGACATTTTGCTTTCTTCTCATGTACTTCACATTATTAGAATTATTTGATCATATACTTTGCCTATTTTTTCTTAGAGATGACTTTTTTCTTGTTAGAAGCTCTTTATATATTAAACATGTCAATTGCTTACAGTAAATATGGAAAATGATGGCCCATAATTTCAATCTTTTAAGTATTGCTTTTGGGCTAAGTTTCAAACTTTTCAAGTAAGAATACCAGTTTTTTGTTTGTTTGTTTGTTTGTTTGTTTTTTAAAATAAAAGAAGGAAAACATTAACAAACAGACAACCATTTACAAAATAGCAAAAGAACAATACAGACAATACAGAGTTACAAACAAAGTGGTAGGAAATTAGCAATGCTTGTTGTATTACATATTGATATCTTCAAAGTGGTTTGGCAGGAAAACAAATAGAGACATGCAATATTGATCAATCAAAGACTCATTAACTGTTTCTTTCAGCAAAGAAATAGAAGACAGTAGTTCAACTATGTTAACTATCCTGTATATACATACGAACAAAATTTCTTCTTCTTTCCCTTCTCTTTTCCCACATCCTAGTTGCCCTTTACCCTTGAGCATTTTCCTTTCATTTTATAATGTCTATCATACCTCCTAGTTTTTATTCACTCTTTCAGGTTTTACATCAGTGAGACAATGCGTGTGCTTGCACACGCAGGTCTGATTTATTTCACTTATGAGTATGGTCTCTAGTTGTGACCATTTACCTACAAAAGCCTCGAGTTTATCTATGAATACCAGTTTTTGCAATATTTTTTTCTTTATTTCATGTTTTTATCCTGATGTAGGTAAACTCAAAGCACATTTGAAACATATGCAAACAGGGAGCTCAACCATACAAGGGACCAGTTACTGGAAAGAGTGATTATTTATCAAGACAGAAAAGAGAAGTTATATATTAAAATGTATAAAATTATGAAAATCCTTGAAGAACCCTTGATAAGAGTAATGAAATTATTTAAGGCACATTTGATAAATATTTACTTCATAATATACCTTGCTCTGTCCCCCAAACCTTGTATTACTCTGTGTGACAGGTATGAAAACAATACAATAATGAAATTAAAGAATAGGCAGGATAAACTCCTAGAAGATAGAAGCCAGATGATTCTGTAAGACCCAACATAAAGACATATGTAGAATAAGACTTATTTAAAGTGCTTAGCCCAAACTATAAAATGAATGGGTTTTTAATGAATTGAATTTTTAAAAGCCAAAAGTATCTACAAAATTCCAATTGAAAGAATATAATTCACACTCATTTTGGACAAGGTCACTCCAATTGTAGAGAGGCTAGTTTATTTCAGACAATTTATGCAAACATCTCCATAGTTTTGTAACTTATCTAACATTTTAGCAAAGCAGTGAGCTACTAAATACCAAAGTACAAACAGACGCACATACTTTATTTAAAAAATCTACTGGAAATCCTTTCATGAATCCTGTCATGCAATTAAAACCATATCTACCCATCCCCAGGGGGCAATGATTCTATTTCTGATGCTTTACTTATGAAGTCTCCGAAGATTCTAAACATGATAAAATAGTGTTCACCTGTGGCAGGAAATAGATAACTACATAGTCCAATCAGTGCTTGCTTTTTAGTTTAAATGTCACATTTAAACACAAATATTCAAAACCTCCCAGATGGTCGGAGTTCACTAGTACTTTGCTCCCGTTTGGATATTGACCATCGAAAAATAGATGCCTTTCTGTGCCAGCAGCTGTTGGTGGGTGCCGTGCTCCTTGACTTTGCCGTTCTGAATCACCACGATTAAGTCCGCGTTCTGGATGGTGGAGAGGCGGTGCGCAATCACGATGCAGGTGCGGCCTTCTCTGGCTCTGTCCAGGGCCTCCTGGACAACCTGTCCCATAATCACAGTAATGAATTAATTCTCCTACGATAGTCCTCTCCCTTTAATTCCTCTTCTGTAAAGAGCCCCAACTTTTCTCCAATGTTCTTTTTAAAAGAGAGATGTCAGTGAAATAGAAAACGTATCGTGTTCTACGAGCATTTCCAAACTTTCCTCACTGTGTAGCAGCCCTAAAAGCAGCCTTCTAATGCAGTACCAGAGCAAATCAGGAAGCCTGAGCAAAGGCCAAACACAGCCTCCTTCAATGGTAGCATTTTTCAGACAGAAAACATCTCGTAAGCATTCCGTCTTTCAAAGAGGTGAATTTCAGCCTGCTCTCAAGCAGAAAATTACCACGCTCAGTGATCTAAACTACAGGCCAGTTTTACCCTCTTTTCAATTCTGTCTTTTCATGGGGCTGCTGAGGAGCTGCTCCCAATAGACAGGGGAATACTCTCTCTTGCATGCACCCTCTTAGGTGAACACAACATGACCACAAGCCGATTTTTGGAGCGTATGCGCCCAAAGACTAATTTCCCTGGTATCATCTTAGCTCTCCTAAGTGACAGCTGGAGGAAGTGTTTAAATTCCACTACAGTCGGAGATCAGCAACGCTTCACATAACTGGCTAAATCATGTGTGTTCTCTACTGTGGCGAGAAAAGCATACATCTAAACCTTTGAAGCACAGCTGACTCAAGCATGAATGAACCCAGTTTAAATCCTTACCTTTTCTTTTTTTTTGTTTGTTTTTTTTCCGGTACCAGGAACCGAACTCACGACCTTGCGCTTGCCAGGCAGGCGCTTTTGCCACTGAGGTAAACCCCCAGCCCTAAATCCTTACCTTTTCGCTTTCTGTATCCAGAGCTGACGTTGCTTCATCCAAAAGCAAAATATGAGGCTGTCTAACGAGGGCGCGAGCTATGGCGATGCGCTGCTTCTGGCCGCCGGAGAGCTGCGTCCCTTTGTCTCCCACTCTGGTGTTGTATTTCTGTAAATAGGATCTTGCTAGTTTGAAAGTAGGACTGATAACAAGGGGCCAAGCCACAGTTTGCTCTCAGAAAAGAGGACACTTTTTCTGAAAATATACTTAGAAAGATTTAGGTTCAGAAGCAGAGAATGGGTTTAGAGAGAGCTAAAAGACAAAAGTGCTCTAAACGGGAGGTTTAATGTCTCTTTTGGAAAATAAGCACTAGCGCCTTAAACTTTTATGCTTCTTTGTGAATCAGCCCAACCTCTTTGGGTGGAAGAACACCGACACAAGGCAATTATCTCCCATCTTCTGATTTCACTATTTTGGGGACAAAGATTAGTAGGAGAAAGAAAGTTTCTCTTACTCACAAGCAGCAATATTAGCTGCATCATTTTAAGGGAGAAAAGAAATATTCCTGGGATACTGGTCTTTTGTTGTCTGATTTCATCCAACTATTTCCAACATTTAAATCTTTTCATGCATGCGAAGGAATTCCACTTTGATATCAAACTTTGAAAACCGAAGTATTGCTTAAAATTATTTTTAAGAATTCTTTCAAGATTTTTCATATAATGTTTCCACAGCAGATAACTGTCACTAGCCATTCAAGCCACAGATAGGAACAGATGCTAAAGGGTTGTCAGTAGAAACAGAAGGGGGATGTGACAGTTTGTCTATTCTACACAACAGTATTAGCATCATTTGTGGCCCTTGCCAGGCTGACATTGTGGTCAAACATGGAGTATGATTTTTACACTTGGAATTGGCCTATAAAACTGATGCTTTACGTACTATTGCTGCTTTTTACTTATGATATCTGCCAATCCTAGTTTGTGGGGCTCAGAATGAGGTTTCCCCTTTGAAGACAGAGTGAGAAGCCCCTTCCAAGGTTTTGCCAGACCTGGGACTGGCTCCATCCCTGAGCTGTGGCTGCCTCAGAAGCCAGGTGTACTGACGCACGCCCCATGGGGGTACAGGGGTTGCCAAGGTGCCCTGATGCAGCATTGGCCCTCTTGAGGCAGAAGAGGGCAGTTGTGTAACCCGGAAGGAAGAGGGATGCTAATTAGCCTGTGTAGGTTAGGTGAATCCTAATACTAATCACTGCGGAGAAGAAGTGGATCTCAGGAGGGTAACATGACTCAGGGTGCAGTTCTGCACAGGTGTGGTCTGTGTGACACCAACTAAGAGTCCAGAAAGGCGAGGTCCTTGTGGTAGACAAATACCTGAGAGATAGGATATATGTAAAGACTAGGTAGGCTTACTCTCTGTGTTTTACAGGTCGGGAAAGTCTCCATATACAAGTGACCAGGAGATGGGACCCATGTCCATAATCAGAAGCCTTCTAAATTCTCAGTAGTAAAGGAGATTGGAATTTTACCTATTGAATACTGAAGTATCAACAACAGCTACTTATCCATAGTTGGACTAGACCATAAAGGAGAGGAGGGGAAAGTCCTTCCTCCCTGGGCCTTGTGTTAGGGGTTAGGGGTATCTGAAATAGAGCCTACGGGAAAGGGAAATCTTGAAAGGAATTCAGACACCTAGTGTTGCCACCCTATCTCATAAAGAGATAGCATTCCTGGTTTTGAGGTTCTGAGCTTTATTTTTTAGGAAATAATTCCTTTGTTTTTTTTGGTATCAGGAATGGAACTCAGGACCTTGTGCTTAACAGGAAGGTACTGTGCAGCTGAGCTATGTCTCTGGCTCAATAATTCCTTATAATACAGTATAAAATTTATTATAGGGGGCTGGGGACTTAGCTCAGCGGCAAAAGCACCTGCCTGGCAAGTGCAAGGCCATGAGTTCGGTTCCCGGTACCGGAGAAAAACCAAAAAAAAAAAAAAAAAAAAAAAATTTATTATAATGGGAAGGGTACGACAGCCTAGTCCAGATGCACTTCAAAATAAATGACCTAATAGGCCCTGAATGAGTGAGTGACAGCTTCCCTCTACCTGTCTTTGAGAGGAATTCATAAAGTGTCCATAGGACAATAGCCTAGGAAAGATTTCAGCAATGAGCAGAGCTTGGGGACCATGATATGTAGAATGAGTAGAGCTTCCATGACACTGTGCTCATCCTAATGGCTCACCTCCAGGCAGAGAGAGCCCTCTTCCTGCCATGGGTCTGGGTGTCTGGCTTGGCTTGACTGTAGAAAGGGAAGCTTGAAGTGTGGAGAACAGCAGTAAGCAGGCAGCGGAAGAGAAGTTCAGGAGAGAAACTGTGACACGTGCCTGCCTGCTTCCTGGTAGTAACAGAAGCAGGATGGCCACAGGTGGAGGCCCAAAGGCTGCCCACAGGTCCTATTCCTGGACTCGCAGGTAGAGGCCTTCAGGCATCGACTTAACCCTGCAGCTGGAGCAGGTGGAGCCTCAAGCCTGGCAGCAAGAGATTTGTTCGAGGCCTCTGCAAAGATCATGTCTCCTAACCTGAGTTTAACACTTTGTCTCCTTTGTCACAAGGAGAGTTGTGTGAGCAGTGCTAACTAGGATAGGAAGCGTGACCAGATGCTTGCAAACAGGTGGGGGGTTTGTTCTGGTCGCTGTATTCTCTCTGCCTTTGGGAAAGTATTCATCTAAAAATCAAATGAAAGGGCTGTGGGTGCCGCTCAGCAGCAGAATGTTTGCCCACTGTGTGAAAGGGCCTAGGTTTGATTAAGAGCACCACACCAAAACAAAAACAAAATCAAAGGACAAGCAAGGAAGGCTGGGAAATGCTCCTGGGATCTTACTCTGCAGATGAACTTACATCAGGCAGCGACTCAATGAACTGGTGGATGTTGGCCTCCTTGGCTGCCTTCAAAATCTCCTCCTCTGCCACAGTCCTGCTGTTGTCGCCATATGCGATGTTGTCCCTGATGCTGCAGTCGAACAGCATTGGCTCCTGGGACACGATGCCCAGGTGTGCGCGCAGCCACTCCACATTCAGTTCCTTTATTTCTTTGTCGTCCAGAAGCTGAAAACCATAGTTCACAGATCAACAGCAAACGTAACATCATCACTTCATACTTTAAAAGCGTTGAGGTGTTATGAGGCTAAGGAAAATTTTTATTTTGCTTTGGATGGTCAAGGTCAACCCGAACAAGTTGTTAACTGTACACTTTGAAGAACTGTCATATTTCTGAAGGTTTGATCCTGGGTTATATTGTATTACGGGTCAAGGATGCATTAAAGTAGCAGATGGAATTAAGGCAGCAAATCAGCAGGTCTTAAAATAAGATGATCATCCTGGATTACCCTGCAGAGCCTAATGTGGTTATAATAGTCCTTTATGGTGAGTCAGGCAGGAGGCTCAGCATCCATGTATGCAATGCAAAAAAAAAAAAACTTGGTCAGCTACTGATTGGAAGATGGAGAAAAGGGTAAGGAACTAGGAAAGGCAGGACCATTGACTGTCCCTTACAGCTCTCTGGAGGGCAAAATATTCTGCTGTGACCCTGATTTTAGCGCAGGGAGACTGTGGGACTTTTGACCTCCACAACTGTAAAAATCAATGTGTTACTTGAAGGCAGTAAATCTGTGATCATCAATTACTGCCGCCAGAGGGCGCTACTACACTATCTCATTTTTTAGGATGTACCACGGCATCGTATCCTTCCATCTCAAGTTTTTCATATGAAAGTGTCTTGGGTCGAAGTGAAAATAAATAACTATGGCCATATAACAGATTTGTAAGCCAGATATCCAATCTGTTCTGAGTTTGAGCAGCCCGATGTGGTGGCTAAACGGATAGTGGTGTGGTAGGGAAGACTGTGTATCTCTGGCAACTGATCTTGGGAAGGAGAACTAATTTCTCTTATTTCCTGTGTAAGAAAAATGAGACTGTGACAATTCCGTGGCTCACAGAATTGAGAATTAAATGAAACTGCATATGGAGCTCAGATAAACCAGCACTGGGCAATTGCTCAAGGGCCAACAATTGGTATCTCTGCGTGATGCAGTTTTAACTACAGAGAAAGACATTTGCATCAAAGGACAGGTGGTATCTTCAGTACTGAGCGAAAGGAAATTCTCCCTGATTGTCCAGCAGAAGGCTGGAAGGAAGGGCTCAGGACATAGCTCAGTGGCACGGCGCCTGTCTGGCAAGTGCTAGGTACCAATTCCAGTACCAAAAAACAAAAAAACTGTCCTGAAGGCTGGCAAGGGCCCCCTAGCTTTGTTAATGAAGAACCTTATCTCTCTGATGGGATCCGTCTCCTCAGTATATCAGTTTGCAGAGAATTTTCCAACGTTCACATGTCAGAGCTGTTCATGATCTTTGAGGATAATGCCCATAAGTCATCTTTGAGAATGTCTCACAGTGCTGCTGAGTATGGGGGTACAAGCGTGTGCAGGCATTCCTTCTTTAGCAATCTGCCTGTTTAGCGACTGTCTGGACTTATGACTCTCTTGTTTTAGACAATTCTGCACATCTTGTTGATAGACCCTCAACATCTTTTTCATATACTACACCTTGTTTACACAGTGCTATAAGTTTTGCTGATTGTACTGTAAGGTACAGGACTGTAGTTTCATGTTCGGTTATGCATTATGGTACTGCATGTTAGTTTTGGAAATAAAAATAAAGTCATCAAGGTGGAGTCTCCTGTGGCCATTTCTTTGTCCTGAATGTTGTAAAGTACATACTAGATACAGTTCCTCATTCAGTGGCCGCTCATTTAACAACCTAGCTGCATGAACAAGACTCGGTCATTACACGAGGAACGTCTGCTGAGTCAAACACACTCTCTGCATCCTGTGTGCCTCGCTAGGCCCTCTGGGAGACACCTGGTCAGAGGGAAAGTCGATCTTTGCAGGAGGAACATAGCTCCTCCTCTTGAAGCTGCCAGTGTGTAGAGGGAAAGTACAGTCAAGACCTCGTTGGTTCCAAACCTGTTGCCACGGAGACTATTCTGAGCATTTACGGTCTAGGAGGCACATGGTGTTAATAAGAGGCAATAAAAGATGTGGCTAAGCATCAAATCTTGTTAGAAAGAACACTATGCTTCAGAAATAGAAGCCCGAGGAAAGGACATATTCCAGACTTATACCTCTGGGATGAAAACACACACTGTTTAATATAATCACAGGCAAATCTGAATGGTCACAGTAAGATTTGTTGAACTTCTTCATTACACTGCATGTGATAATACCTGATGCCTCCTTATCCCTGAGAAGTACACTAGAATTTAAAACTCTTGAAAACCGGTGTGCATTAAGGAACCCTTTCTTTAAGGAAAGCACGGCTAGAAGCTCAGAATGTAAAATGGATCAAAGAGCAGTTGCTTTGGTTGAAGCTTGGCAGTGGAGTGATGGAAGATCCAGGAATTCTGAGGAATCTGGGAAAACTGCTTACAAGATCCCGGCCTCCATAAAAGCATGACTATGAAAGTCAACACTGGTAAAGTATAATGTCAGGCTAAATTAAAATCACTAGCTATAGCTATTGTAGATTGCTAAAAACTGCTTTCTCTTATTAGCAAAATTACCCAAATATTAAATATATAGTACTCCATGTGTATGTATTCTAAATAATATTAATAAACTTAAAAATCAAGCAGTGGTAGTGTTGCAGGTGCTATGATAAGCCTCGTGTGTTTTCATTTGGCCTTTACAACAAACCATAGGAGGCTGTTGTGATGTTTATCCCCATTTACACACAAGGACATGCAAGTTAATAATTTAGACAAAGTTACACTATAACCTGAATACTCTAGGCTTGGATATACACATCATAGGCTTGGATTTAAACACTGAATTTGGTAGCACATGTGCATCAAAGCTGAAAGATATTTTTGATCATCTTTAAGGGGAATGAAAAGCAATATCAATATCATGGCCCTGCCACCCACTGGATTATAAGGAGACAATGACAAGGGTCTTCTAACTGTATCCTAAAGGGGATGGAAGGCTCTGAATGGGGTGCATAGGAAGAAGTGGAGAGGTAAGAAAGACAATATCAGAAGACTCCAGCTAATGGAGGTTAAGCCTCAAGGACATCGACTGCATGCTTGGTTTGGGTGTCAGGGGGACCTGGCTGTAGTCAGGAAGTGGTTTCTTCAATTCATTAATGTAACATTCCCTATAAAGCCAAGCAGGCATTTTTTTCTTTAATTTTTTTATATTTCCTTCCTGTACTGTTAAAGATCCCCATACTAGACAAGAATTTTATAATAACATAAATGTTAACTTCTCTGTAGACAAGAATTCTCATCTACAACTGAGGTTCTTTATCCAAATGTATGACACTTTTGGTATCAAAAAAATGGAAATGAATGGCCAAGGCAGTCAAAACTTTTAAGACCAAATGACTACCTCACCAAACTTGAATGTTCTGGGCATGGACCTGTCATATGGGCGAGCACTTAACTCCAGTCGGGTGAAGCCCAAGAATAGCTCCTCCTGTCACCTAGCTCAGGGTGCCTGGGCTTGTGCTGTACCCCACATTACTTCAGGGAAATCTGCAGCTTCCAGAATCTCAGTAACTCCACGCGGACATGTGTCCATTTTTCTACACTGCTTCTTTTTTTTATTCAAATAAGGAGGGAAGTATGTCTTCCTAGTTCACTTTTATTCAATTTTAATTTTTCAGTAACACATATTTGCAGTACAAAATGTTAACCTGCCTCTTGGGGAGTTGGTACATGCATAAAACACAGTGATTCTTTTTGCATTTCCTTCCCCTCCCTTCCCCTTCCTCCCCCTCCATCTCTTGCTTCCCTTACCATCTGAAAAGATCTATGTTCTTACTTCCTACTCTGTATCTTTTATTTTGCTCTCTATTTATATTTTGGGTTTCTCATATAGGAGAAGCCGTTTGGTATTTAAACTTGTGTGTCTGGTTTATTCTATCCGACATTATGGTTTCAAGGTGCATTTAATTCTAGGTGCCTAGGACAACTAGATTGTTCATTCAAAGACCAAAGATCAATGCTATTTGGTAAAGATAAGAAAAAGGAAACATGCACAGCTTTGTGTACGTTCATTTGCCATAAAGGAAAAAGATGTTCTACATGTTAAAATATCAAACTGATGCACAGCATACTGCAAAATTGAACAGAATGTAGTTAAACAATACTCAAACACAAAACTCTTCAAGCACATGGAGATCATTTCTTAAAATGAATTTTTTCCTACCTCCCTTTGTGTAATTTTATAAATGTTTTTTCCTTAATAATATCCAAAATCAATCTTTGCACTTGTTAGTGCACAATAGCCAGACCCTGGTCTTGCATCTTTTGATTTGGAGCAGCTATGACACGTGCATAGTACTTTGCAACTTCCTGCTCACAAGATCAGAGAAGCGGTGCTGTGATTTGGGAATGTGAAAGAAACTATACTTTTCACCTTCCAGCCCTTCCAAAGAATAAGCACCCAATTTCCTTTATTAAATAGTTATCTACTTGAAATACCTACAATCCTTTCTGCTTCTTAAACTAAAATGTAAATAATACTATCTATGTCTTTTCTGTATGCTGCTTTGTGCTGATGTACTTGCAGAGTAAGTACTGTGTTTTCCCAAAAATAAGATACAGCTGGAAAATAATGAGCCTTAACAACTAGAGATGAAAACTGCCAGCCCCATCGGCCTATCCTTACCTCACCTGCCATCACTCTTCTCTTGCTCAGTGGCTATGCTGCAAGGCAGGTCAGGCAAGGACAGGCTGATGGAGCTGGCATTTTTGAATTCTAGTTTTCAACACTGATTATTTTCCAGCAGATCTTGTTTTGGAGGAAAGTGTATTAATAACTTCCTTCATGTATAATAATTTTATTGCTTATTATTGTTTTCAAATTCAACATTTTATTATCGCCCCAGGTATCTTGCCTACTGGAAAATGACTATGAATTTATGAGGGGGCTGTGAGATTTTAAAATGTGTCATGGGTTATAATAAGGAAAATCTGAGAAGCACTACTCTTATGAAATCCCTTCTTTCAGCTGAACTGGCCTATTTCTTGCACTGGGATTGAGTTAGATATCAACCACAGTCCACGTTATCTCTTGCACTGACTGCCATCGCCTCTGTTCAACCATATGCAGATCCTATTTACCTCTTAAGAAAAATCTGTAGGCCTAACTTCTTTTTCGTTGTTGTTTTTTGAAATACGCTTTCAGTATGTAGTTCAGGCTGGTCTTAAACTCACTACACAGCCCAAACTCTCCCTGAACTCGCAGCGATCCTCCTGCCTCAACCTCACCACCAGGCCCAGGTAGGCCTTTTTTAATGCATGGAAGTGAATACTCCATCACCTCAGTTACAGTCCTTGAGGGCAGATACCATGCTTGTATAAGTTAGCTTTCCAGTACTGGACATTCACAGTTTAGATGAGGAGAGATTTATTTTGGCTCACAGTTTTCACAGGATCCAGTCCATGCTTGGTTGGCTCCATGGCAATAACAGCATGGTGGAAGAGGATGAGGAATGAAAGTTTTTCCAAGCCTCAGCAGTCAGGAAGCAGAGAGAAGGCAGGATGCAAGGGCAAGAACGCACCCTCCCAGGTTATGAGCACAGTGACCCACCTCTAACCAGGCCCCGCCTCCTAATGGTATGTTCAGCTACTAACGTCACTGGTGGATGAATCTATGGATTAGTATACCACTCCCTTGATCCATTCATTTTAGATCTAAACCATACTAAAGTCTTACAACTCGCTGTAGGACGTTAAACACAGTGCTTAATTAAAGTCTGTTGAGGACTGTGGTCATAGTCCAAAAGCTAACATTTTCTCCTCCAATTGTTGCAAATGTCAAAACTTCATTTAGACTCCTATGTTCAAACTGCAACCAGAAAATTCAAGCATAGAAGAAGAGTTTTAGAAACAAAATAGGGGAATAAAAGCAAGTTTTTCTAAGTATTAACTCTAAGAAGAGATTTTCTAAGTATTAATGCAGAGACTGAGCAAACTGTGAGTTGTCTTTGAATACAACAAAATATTTCTGAGCAGCAGTGCTTAGTTGATATGGGGAATTTTAAAAGGCTACAGGTTGAAATTCTCTTCCCATGTCAGTCATCACTGCAACCAGGGTCTATGTGGAGCTAATGGGCCTCCGTGTGTTGGTCAGTGACCACACCACTCCTGTTGTTCCATATTTTGAATATTACCTCTGACTACAACCAGTAACAAATGCCTAAATTATGAAAATTTGTTACTAGAATTCTGTTCTTTCCAAGTCTGCCTCTTTTGCTATGCCCCGTGATTGTAGTGTAAATTCATTACTCCCTTAAAGACCCTATGTGACCTCTGACACCTAACGTAGCACCAGTTCAAAGTTTTGCTGAATAAACAGTTTTGATTCTTCACCCATTCTTTTAGCTCAGAAAGCAAAGGAGGATTCTTCCATACTCTTGATGTGCTCCCCACGTGTTGATCTTGCTTTTGTTTTTGTCGTGGAAGATGTTTCAATGCCCTTTCTCCATCAGTGGTACGACCTCATTCTCTGCAATAAACTACTTACCTTTCTAAACATGTTTCCTGCATACTGCCTTCCCTATTCAAGCTTCTCACTTGTCCTCTTGCTTTTGATCTTGACAGTCTACACTATTTCTCCTTAATATTCTCCACAAAATTAAACTTTTATACCATCACCACTTCACTGAGAATATAGAATATGAGAAGAGCCATTATTGCTAGAGCCTACTATTCCCGCTTCCTCCTCATCTTACTCCAGCTCTCTGTGGCATCTGTTCTTGCTGACCATTTTCTCTTTCTAGATGTACAATCTATCCTTGGCTTTCACTTCATTTGTCTATCCTGGTACCGCTTGTCTTTCTGGCTACTTCACTTTCTGTTGAATCTTTGACGCCAGGTTATATTGAGCCGCAGCAAGAGAGACTTACGGTAAGAAGACAGCTTGCAAAGGAGGATAGAGGGGCAGCTTGAGGGTGAAGCTGGAGATCGTGCAGCTGGGACAGGAGACACAGCTTGGATGACAAAACTAAGCTGTCAGACTTGAGAGGAGGCTATTCCTGAAAGGACTGAAATGCCATGGCTGGTTGCAGTGAAGGAAGCACACCCAGGACTTTGGATCAGGAAAAGCCTGAGAGGAGCTGAATGTGAGAGTGTGCTCACCACTTTTCCGGCCAGTGTGTCATAGAACCGCTCAAGGAGCTGGACCACCGTGCTCTTCCCACAGCCGCTGCTGCCTACCAAGGCCAGCGTCTGGCCCTTCTTCACCTGGAGGCTCAGCCCCTGAAGCACTGGGATGTCCGGTCGGGTGGGGTAGTTGAACACAACATCACTGAAGGTCACATTTCCTTCCAATGTATTCTAAAAGGAGAACAATGACAGGGTTTCACTGGAGCAATACAGAAACAAACAGTAGTGCAACCCCCCCCCCCCCGCCAGCAGGTGTCAGAAGGCAGTGAACTCTTCTTAGAGTTGTTTCATTTCCAACTGTTAGAATTTAGTAGGTTCTAAAAGAGTCATTGTTTTGTGACAGGAACTTTTATGTATTCCAAATACACAACTGTGATAGATCTATACCCCTTGAATTGAATAACCCAAGTATCAGAACATCTGAGCAATAGGGTTCTCTTATAAAGTGTGCAATATTCTGGCTGCACAACTCTTTATGCATAAATTGGGGATGTGCATTTATTTAAAAAAACCATGAACTAAAAACTGGGTAAATTATCAACTCAGTGAAAGCCTGTCTCCAAAAAAATGCTGGGATGTAGCTCAGTGCAAAGGCCCCATGTTTACTCTTCAGTACCACCAAGTAGGAGAGGAGAAAGGAAAGAAAGGAAGCAGGAAGAAAGGAAGAAAGGGAGGGGGAAAAAGGGAAAGAGTGAACACATGTAACCGGGCATAGTGCACGGCTGTAATTCTGCCACTTGGTAGACTCACTCATGAGCAGTAAATTCCAACCCAGCCTGGGAAAATTACCAACATAGCAAGATTGGTCTGAAAATGAGAAATTAAAAAAAGGGGAAAGCAGAGCTGGGGCTATAGCTCAGTGTGAAGGCTCTGGTTTCAAGCTCCAGTAACAGAAAAACAAACCACATAGACTTAACTAAATTTCCCCTTTGAACACTTTCATTCAGGAGTTTGGAACAGTTTAGAAAGCAGATATGTCAAACCCACCGGCTTCAGGCCTGCTGAGCTGTAGGTGTCAATGGTAGGGACTTTTTCCGTAATCATGATGATGTGGGAAGCTGACACTCTGGCTTTGGCATAATCAGGAGCAAATGAACTGACCTGCCCAACTGCCATGGCACCAAAGACTATGGTTGAAAATACCCTGGAAACAGAAGACAAGCATGCACACACAGTTATGGCTGCACAGCTAGCAAGTGGACAGTTCTACAACCTGGGATCACTGCCTCCGAGAATTATAAAACAGAAGTTAAAAATAAAACAAACACCTTCCTTCTAAGTTCATGCCCCTGTCGTGCACAGATTGCAAAACATCACCCTTTCACTGCTTAGTCCCCACCCCCCTGCCTCATTGCACTCCTGTTTAAGAAATGGAGTTTGTTTTCCAACCTCTGCGTTTGACTTGGCTTGGTAACTCCTGTGTTCCACAGGATGCGGTGGAAGTGGAGGTCACCGTTGCCTGTTCCAAGCCTATGACTCAAGGGGCCTGAGTGCTTTGTTCTTTCTTATGTCCCTTCACTGTCCCAGTCTTCTCTGACTATGCTGTAGTTCAGTGCAGACACACAAGTGAGCGAACTGTGATTCACTATGCTAAAAGCCAATCAGAACTGATCCACAGATTTGTGGCAAAGCAGCAGTCAACATGCTGGGTCACTGTGACTCGTGGTTGCACAATCCACAGTGCGTACAGTGAGCAGCGCTGGGATGACATCAGATTCTTAGAAAATCTGTGACTATGCGGCTAAGAGAGCCCTCCTTGAGCACCCAGGTTATCACGCTGCCCTCATCTGTACTTCTAAGCTCTGATGTGAGAATCTATAGGGACTGACATCGTAAAGGAACTGAAAGACAGTGTCCATCTCTCAGTGTCTGTACTTGGACTTCTAAATTGTCTGTAATGATCTGTTTTTGAAAATAGCAAATCTTGCCTAACTATACCATTAAAAAGTTTTCCTTTTAAACAGAAGAAAAATCTTCCTTTTCATTTGCCATTCCTGCATGTATCTGAACACCGGTCAAAGTCCTTGCTTCTTTGATAACTCCTTTCACTATCTTTTGGACATGGTTACTGACACATCTCTTTAAACACTAGGACTGGAACTGACGTATATCACTTCTTTCCCTCCGGACCCTACATGTGTTTTAAAGCAGCAGTGGGTTTTTTTGTCTTTTTAACCTTTTCCTGAATAAATTACACAGATGGTTTTGTCCTTGTTATTTAAACTTGTGGGACTTTTTCAAGTTGGACTGTTCTTCAGAAGGGTCTCCCCTTTAGTTACTTGAAAGATTGGTTTTGTAAAACAAATGTCAAAGCATAGCAATGTTCATCATTCAAAGTGTTGGAGTAAATCAATATGTAAAATAATTATCCAGTCAAAGCTTTAACACCACTGATGCCTGACTCTGTTCTTATCATCATAACGAACAACAAGTGATTATAATTTATCAGACATATCTTCTGTTAGGTTCATCATGAACTATAATGCATGAAGAAGTCAATGCTTAAATATGACAGAAATTGTATGTGAACACATTATGTTCTATGATTCTTGTTTCAGTGTAAAACAGCATTGCTATTAGTTAGGTTTGGGCAGCGTTGTACCTGTCCCCAAATCTGAAAGATCACATAGATCATACATTTTCACTACCAAGCTACATAGTTGGATATTGTAGCAGTATGATTAGGTTCAGTGGGAAAATATCTTTATCCTGGGCTCTCCCAGGTTTGGAGGAACAGAAGGCACCACCTCCTCCTCTTAGCTGCTCACTTAGAAAGCCCTTTACAAGGAGCCATCAGGGTTATGCTTCTTTCTCAATGCTAAGGCCTCCTGGAGACCTCTGAGTCGAGTCGCCCACCCAGCCACAAATTCAGAAAGGTCAGACTCGTGTCAGCAATGGGATAGAAATGTTATTGAGGAACAAGTGCTTCCACAGGAACAATAGAAACCCAGGGGCAAAATGCTACCTTCTCAATCATCAAAATCTCTTCATGGGGCTTTGTATGAACCACTTCATCCCAGGTTTACCTTTTTAGATTTAAACTGTCAATATTAGCACAATACTTACAACATGACACTTTCAAAATCCATGAGCTCTTGTGCTACCAGGTAGGCACCAAATCGGAAAGAAGCAGCGTAGGAAAAAGACATCATGGCCTGGGTGAAGCCAAATGAGAGTCCAAAGATGTGTGCTTTCTTCAAAGAGTTTCTGCAAACAAGATATTAGAAAACTTACTCTGCTTTCCTTTCTTAGTCCTTAAAATGTACATTTTCATAGACTGCCAGTAGGGTGCAGAATTGTGACAGATAAAAATGGGTTTCATTTCCAAAGAACAAATGTGATCCTCATTTTACTTCCAGTTGCATGAAATGAGTCATGTCACTCACTTATGTGTTCATCTTCAGTGAAGGCTTAACTACACCTCAGTGTGTTGATGTAATGGCAAACTACAACTATGACCTCTGTACAAAGCCTGCTATGGATTAATATTGGAAGTTCCCTCTCTTTTTCCAGCAACTGGACAGAGAGCACATGTGTTCTGCATTGTCTGCATTCATTCCGCACACATCTACACCACACATGAAAACAGTGAAACGGGAACAGGGCCAAGCTGAATGACACACCGTAGGAAGTACCTGCCCTCAGGGATCTAGGAGTTGCACTGTGTAATTATCTATGAAATGGAGGTTCCTTATGAGCAACATGCTGTGGAAACAATCAGTCTCAGGGGGCCTTAGGGAATTTTTTTTAAAGGAATGAGGTTCTAGGTTTTGTGAGGGACATGCAACTCAGGCATACGGCCGTGTAGGTAGCAGCTGGTTGGTGAGTGGGCAGCCCTCTGGGCCTCCTCCTGCTTCAGCTCTATCAACTTGCCCTTCATCCCTGCCATACAGCAGAATTTCAGGGGAAAACTTCAGAAAAATCTCTAGTATCACTAAAACATCTGAAAACCCATTGATAAAGTTATGCTCTATCTGGCAAAATAGAGAGGACACTGAGACCCAAAGGTTGCTTTTTTTAGGGTTGCTTATATTGCTGGGCACAGCACATATCAGAACTTTCACTGGGATGACTGCGCAGAAGGCAGAACAGAAGGTCTCTGCTGGGGAAGAAGGGCAGACAGTTACGAAGGGTACACTCTGGCAACATCACCCCCTCCATGTGTACCGACGGCTCAGTTTGCACGATACAAGAAGGCCCACATCCCTAACCAGAGCAAATCCTAAGCTCATTACCCACATGGTCAACAGGGAGCCATTCTCTTGGTCCTTTCCGTTTTCCACTGTTCGATGTTCTACTTTAGAGATGCGCCTGCCTAGGTTTGGGTCTTACGACTTCACTCCCGTGTACTCACTAGTCCCTTCCAATTGGTTCCCTTCTCTACGATCTACCTGCCTGGCAAAGTAATCTTCCTAAAAACAAATCTGATGATTGGAAATCTCCGCACGCTCTTCGGTCATTATTACCTGTATGGTACCTGCAAACGTTCGGCATACATATGTTCAAATTTCTGTTCCCGAGTCAAAGAAACAACAGTTCGGAAGTTTTCTATTGCTTCAGTAGCTATCTGTAACAGAGATCGTTGATCAGGAAGTGGCAGAGTGGAGTAATAAGTGAATTCTGCAAAATGGGCTAAGAAAAGTTCATTTTTCATTACATTTTAAAATTTATTATTTTGTATTACCTATAAGCATCTTCTCCATGGAAGAAATCATTAAATAATTTACCAAAGTAAGTTTTAGATCTGGAAAGAAGATGAACCAATTCAATCTTCCCCTCTTTACAAAAGAAGCTTAGGTTTATATCTAGCTTTACAAAATTAACCTGAAGACTCAGAATGGTACATCATCTGTAATGCTCTTGATTCTTTGATATTTAGATTTAAACTGTAATGGTTACTTTCGATAGTTATAAAAATGTGATTATTCGTACTTTTCTTTGTAACTGCCAATTATAAAGACTCAATAATATTCAGGAAATGAACTGCTGAAATGATAAAAAGGTAACATGAAGTCACATGTTGGAGTATATTACAAATTAGCTTATGTTGTATTTTCTAAGCACACACATTGGGATGGGGCTCTGGGACGCTGGGGCTTGAACCCAGGGCTTCATACATGTTAGATGAGCATTCTACTGCTTAACTATAACACTAACAGGTTTTCATCATTTTGGGACAGCTCGTCCAGGACAGCCTTCCACCTGTGATCCCTTTCTGCGTCAGCATCCCAAAGATGCTGGTAATGTGTTGGTAATGTGCTGGTAAAGGTGTTTGGTAATGTGCCTGGCTTACATCTTTACCCAAAAGAGATGTATTTCTATATTTGTTTGTCACTGTGTTTTACCTTAACAAATACCAAAACTATTTTCCAAAGTAATTGCATCTACATTAATAATGGGATTTCAGTGGCCACATAACACCACAGCCAGTAAATATCTCTTTATTTTTGCTCAATGTTTTCAATTTTTTTCCTTACTAAAAAATGTTGTGATAAATATCCTTGTAGCTACATATTTGTCCATATTGCATGATTTTTTTCAGTACAAGTTCTTAGTGGTGAGATTGCTGGATCAAATAAATAATGTTTAAGGACTGTTGGAACTTATTATCAATTTTTTCAAGAAAGTTTCCATCATTCAGGTATGTCCGGATTCACTTGCTACTTCCTACAGTGCTATTTGATTGGGAGATAAATGCCCTTTACCACCTTCTGGAATCTGGGTAGAGGGGCATAGAGGGAGCAAGGACTCAGAAATGTAGAATCTTGCTTATTCTTCACTGCATCCCACACACATTATCTATTCAAAGATAACAGCAAATATTTCATACCCATTGAGTCACTTTTGAAGATTACTGCAAAAAGCCATTACAAAAATTAATAACAAATTCTTGACAACAAAAACTTATTTCAAAAATTAATTTAAAATATCGCTCTTTGATCCAAGTAGGAAAAGGAGTTTGAATTATGTTTAATATAAACTACTTAGAATGGCAAGAAAGTATCCAAACTTTCTAGGTTAAAATATTTTATAACTTGTTTTAGCCATTTAAAAAATAATATATGCTCATTTTGGAAAATCCTAAAAGTACAGAAGACATGAAGTTAGAAGAAAAAGCTACTTCACCTAAACACCCCAAAGAAAATGCTAATTTACATTAGAAATATTTTTAATTATGAGTTTAAACAAAAAATTTTTTGAGATTATTACCAACATTAACAAGCTAGTAATGTCTGCTTTAAAAAAGATTTCACTGTAAATTTCAGAGTAATTTTAAGAAGTATTTTCTGTGTGACATTTTCTAAGGCAGGTGTGTCTTGTTTCCAATGAGTCCCTAAATGTCCCTGCTTTTCTGTGTGTACACAGCCCAGTAAAATTGAGTCATACCCCTTGACTGATGAATGAAACACTTACTCTCGATACACAGAGAAGCAATTAGAAAAAGCCTTAATTAGCACTGTGCAGTCTCAGTTTCACTTATTCCAGGTCTTTTAAAAATACATTAGTGCATATTAATTTTATAAAGTGTTGATTTCCAAGTGGTATTTATATATATATTTTGTATATAACATTTTTATCATAGCCGTCTTCCTATTACTTTTGATAATAGCATTTCTTCCACTTTCATGACTCTTTTTTAGATTTCACATATTAGGGAAAATATGGTAATTGTCTTTTTGAGGCGGAAATATTTTGCCTAACATGGTAATATTCAGTTCTATCAATTCTCCTGTAAATGACATAATTTTATTCTTCTTTGTGACTCATTAATTGTTCCACTGATAAATACAAGGGTGGTTCCATATCTTATACTACTGTAAACTGTGCTGTTAATAAATACAGGCATGCAGATATTCCTATTATATGCTACCTAATTTCTTCAGATATATACCAAGGAGCAGTATAGCAGAGTCATGTGGTAGTTCTAGTTCTTGTTTTTTAAAACGCTCCATACTGATTTCTGTAGTATACTAATGTATATTTACTCTACTAATGTATATTTCCACCAGTAGTGTAAAAGGGTTCCTTTTGCCTTGCATCCTTGTCAGTAATTACCACTTTCTGTACTTTATATGACAATCTGGGAGGAAATGGAATTTAAATGCAGTTGAACACTTTTTTTTCATACTTACTGTCCACTTATACTTTTTTTTTTGAAAATTCTCTGTTCAATTTATTTACCCATCAGCTGGTTAGGCTATTTGTTCTTTTGTGTTAACCTTTCTATATTTTCTCTATATATTCTAGATAGTAATCCTCTATCACAAGGGTAGCTAGCAAAGATTTTCTCCCATTCTGGAGGCTGTACCTTCACTCTGTTGATTGCTTCCTTTGCTGTACAGAAGCTGTTTAATTTTTTTTATAACGAGTGCCACAGCAGTGATCTGATTCCAAATATGATCAGAAGCAACTGCAGGGTTTAAATTAGAGGTTGGTATGATGTGATTTATGTTGTAAGAGATTGGGGTCTTTTATGTGAAGAATAGCGAATATGTGTGGACAGGGATATAAGGAGTAGATCAGTTGGGGGTCAGTTGGGAGACTGTGTCTACATGACTTTGATCTCTCTGAACCTTGAGCTTTATTCTCTCTAGCAGGGATAATTCAATAGGGCTATTTGGAGCATTAAATAAGATAACACTGGTAGTGTTCTTGGGATGAAGCCTGGCATATAATAAACAGTCAATGGTAAGCTGCAAAGTACGACCATATGGTGACTGATTTCCCTCCACACCTTTCTCCCTCTCGGGAACTACCACTGAATTAGAGCATGTACCACATTCCTGACTTTTATTCAGAAAATCTGCCATATTTACACATATCCATACCCATCTGTCCTCCTTCCCTCAGCCTTGCTCACAGAACTCTTAAAAATCTCGTATCTGATGCACCATTTCAAAATGCTAAATTTGCTTAGCCACAAATTAGTTCAGGATTGGTTGTCTTCTCCTCATAAACAGTCCATGATTCTTCTTTAAGATCCTTCAAATGTACCATTAGTGACATGATTAAACATTAATTTTGTTTTGTTTTGGTACATTTTATCTTATATTTTGCACTGTTTCCTCAGCAATAAAGTCAAGACCACAAGAAGAAAGAAAAACAAAGTACATGATTAGATAAAGTTATCAGTGCAGGGTGTGTGCCCTGGCTGGGGCCAATGTTATGTGGGCTGGACCACAGCCAGACCACAAAGGGCAAGGTGTATGATGAAGCACCTCGGTCACCTGGGCCTGCTGAAACCCACAGCAACCTCACCTGCCTGCATCCTGTCTGCCCTGACTCCCAGGAAACCGGAATATCCATCACTAGATGTTTGCCTGTCTAGACGTCAGGATTCATTTTGGGGTCTGCCCTGCTCCGACTTCTCATGTCTGCCATCTAATATCACAGTACGTTCTGCCATCAGAGCACCCCTCTTGTTTTCTGCCTGCAGGAGCATAGCTGTCTTCATTTGAATCCTGACTGCCAAATTTACCAGCTTTCAGGCACTGCAGCCACTGAGGTGATCACAGAACTTACCTCCCAGTGCTGTGAGAAGGAGTAGAGCATGTGCCAGGAAACACTGACTGTCACACAAGTATTTGTCAAATAATGAGAAAAAAATCCTGCAAGCAAGCTCTGAAAAAGTACTGAGTGGAGGAGAAACAGAGATAGGACGAAGAGAGAAAGCACGAAAAAGAGACGAAGTGGGTGCCCTGAAGGCTTTTCAATATTGAATCTCCCCTAGTATAGGTAATAAAATGGCCCTTTTGAAAATGAAGCATAAATTTAAGCATACATAAAAGAAGTAGGAGAGGAGAGAAAGAATGAGGTGAGAAGGGAGTAAGAAAGGCAAAAAGGAAAGAACTGAAGGGAAGAGGGAGAGGAAAAGAAAAGAACGTGAAGACATGGCCTGAATCCAGAAAAGCCCATTCAAATCAAGTTGACATTATGAGCTAAGGATGTTTGTGCTACTGTTCTTCATTTTCTAATCTACAGAATAAATGCAAGAAATATTGCTTTGAGGTTTGGTTATAAAAAACATTCTCAGAGGGTTGTAAGTAATAGGAAGTAATGAAGAAGGGACTAATTCGGATTTATTTCCTTTGACTCACCTTCCCAGAATGTTCCAGTTCTTTCTTATCTTTGAGTGCTTGTCCAGAAAACAATTTCATTTGAAAAAATCCTGCTATTGTAATCAGGGGTACAATGGCTAAGAGTAAAAGTGTCAACTGCCAGCCATAGATGAAGGAAATAATAATTCCTGTCCCGAGATTTGCTACATTCTGGGCAATTATAGCAAGCCTGGAACCCATAGCCTGGAAAAAGAAACAAATTAAAGTCACATTTTTATATTGTATTTAAAATCCATGCTTATGTATTCTTAAGGACTATGACAATTTTTCCTAAAAATCTATTCAATTTACTTTAGCAGTTTTGGTAGATTTTGAAAATGAAGATATAACAAACACTAAAAATAAAAGAACAACAATCTAGAGTTCAATTACATAGTTCTATCTTTTCCAGTTTTTTAATACCAAGAACATCTTAATCATAAGATGGCTACTAACACAAGCTCTGCAGATTACAGAGAAAAAGAAGAGTGACAATTATATTAAACTGTGAATGGCAAAAATTGCCACAGTATATTTAGGCTTATTTGAAATACTTATTTTAAACTTGGATTTTACTCGGGAAAATAACAGAGTTTATACTTATGAACTATAACTTCTATTAAGCTAGCGTGTGATTTTTGGTTTATCAGCAGGAGTCTGACCACGGCTTTCAGAAATGAACAGTGATCCCCACTAGCAGGCAGCACATGAAGTTCATTTGGTCCATTGCTGTGGAATTCAGCTCATCACATCTCCACCTGGCAAATTCTTGGTGCCCTCACACCGTTCTGATTGATAACCACAGCGCTCCACTCTGAATTCTGGTATAGAAATTTTTATACCATCACACATACCCAATATTGACTTCATGTTTCTAATATAATCACTAGATTAATACTCTTCACCAGGAAGAAACCCTACACTGAATTACACACAAGGGTACAGTGCCAGGGCTGAAGGAGGTAGCATAAAAATACATCACACTTTTATCTGATCCTATCATTAACCATACATTAAAGGAATGTTTTGCAAAGTCTGGCAAAATCACACAGCAGAGGGACCTTCAGATCCAGCTCTCTGTCCCACACGTTTTCCATGTGAAGCTCGAATGATGCAACCTGGAGTGAGTCTGCAGGGATGGAATCTGTGGCTCCTGTTCTCAGGAACTGCACATCCTTCTTACAACTCACTTCCCACATCCGCTGCTGACTGAGAGAGGCACCCAGAACATTCCCTAAGTCACAGCAGGAGCTGCCCTGCCACATTACCTTGAAGACACCAGACATCCAGCTTCAGCTAGCAGGCATGGACCTCAGAAATCAGTAGGGTGGATCAGAGATGACAAGATTCTCTTTAGCATACAGGAAAGTGGTACCCAGGACTCCATGCTGGGTGAGGGTGAAGCCCCTGGCCCCTCTGATTTAGAGTACTGGTGACTTTATTCTCAAGCCTGACACTCACCATCCCTCATGAAGAGTAGGAATCTACAGAACTCTGAGCAGTAGTCACCTGTCCCTGTTTCTTCCTCTGCTGCTACTTCCTCCTCAGAGCACCATCAGAGCCCATCAACTCAGATTATACAGTACTTGTGGTCATTAGGAAAAAGAAAGGTTTATTTTCTGAGCTTTGTTTTGAAATTATGAATATTTCACTTCACCATTCCCTCAATCACTTTCTCCCAGAGAAAAGTTTTCAAAATACCTTGATCTGTTTAATTTCTTTTTCAAAAATTTTTAAAAGATGTTTTTTATTTTAAAGAGAATAGTAAATGCGAAACAAACAAAGAAATAGAACAGCAGCAGCATACTAGTATCACAAACAAACAATGAAAGCAAGAACATTCAAAGTGATACAGAGTCTCAAGACAAAATAATATGAATCAACAGTGGTTGTCCCATTACAGATAGTCATCCTCAACTACATTGCTCAGATTACCAGATGTAAGAATGAAAGATTGCTCAAACCACTTCAGGGAATAAGAAAATAATTGTTCGATAAAACAGTAGAGATAATACAGAGTTTCACTAGACAAGATGGTAGGAGTGCACCATTGTAATTCCATTGCATATTGTTACCTTCAAATCAGTCGCTCAGGTGTGTTGAAATGTTCCTTTTAATTTCTGTGCTACTCTTCCCCCTCTATTTCCCTGAAGAGCCACATAGCAAAATAAAATGAAAGAGCCCAGGAGTTACATTTTCTCCCGGTTCACGATTAGCAGGATTAAGCTACTTCAACAGTGTGCAAACCTTCCTTTTTGACAGTGTAAAGTTATTCCTGATAGCTTTATTTTCTTAGTATGCTTTTCAGTTGTTTCAACCCATTTTTAGGAATACTTTCTTCCCTTTATTCTGAACTGCAGCAGCCCTAAACTTCATGAGCAACTACACATCCTTTCTTCAGTAGCAGCTATCACTTTCTGTTGACTAAGCTCTAACATAGACTGATCCTGAATGCTACTGTGAAAATAAATTTTACTAAATGCCTATTCTTCTACATGTATCTTGTTGATGGAAGTAACCGAAAGTTACATTATTGAGTAAGTAATGTTTAAATTGTCAACATTTTCATCATTACATATGTAATACATTTTTGGATTTGGTGTCTAACACTTTACTTACTGTAAATCATTTTTATTAGTATATGCTTACAATACATAATAAATGCATTCATCATGGGGAACTGGTACACATAAACATCACATCTTGATCTTTTTACTCAACATTTTATTCATGACGATAAGTAACATTTGTAATCAGATGCTGAGGTGCAAAATGGGCAAGTAAGTCAAATGCAAACAGAGACAAGGCACATACCCCTTTCACTTGAGAGGCATCATTGGCAAGTCTGGTAGTCAGTGCTCCAGTGGTGTTTTTAGGGTCGTCAAACCAGCTCACATCCTGTAGTAGAAAAGAGATTTTATTACTTTACAGTCCTGTTTATGAGACTCTTAGCTCCAGGAATTAAGTGACCAGGTCAATTTTGTTTATAACTAATTCCCCTTCATTTAGCTTCAGGATGTGACATTCAATAGACAAGAAAGAGACTTTATATACAAAACACAAAAATAGATCTCCCAATTGCAAAAAAACCCTACAAAAACCTTCGAGTGCCTGGTTTTTTCCCAAGGATGACTTCTAAGTGTTGGGACAAAACCAGCAAAGCCTAGGTTCTAGAGACAGAAATGTGGTAAAGAAAAACAGAGCCGTGTAAAAACATAAAGAAGTGAGAGAATATCCTATTTTTAGAACAAGGGTGGAGAGAGAGGAGCACTCTGCAGAGACACTTGAGCAGAGACCTAACTGAAGGTAGGAATGGGAATATCTGCAGGAAGGAAGTGACAGAAGGGAAGGCCCGGAGTCAAAGCACAATTGCTGTGTTCATCCACCAGCGAGGGAGTCTTGTAAGTGCTGCTGGCCTCAAAAGAAACTGCATGCCCTTGTGAAATTGCTTCTTCCTCTGGACAGACTTTTGTTCTCATGGGGCTATCATGACTTTCTCTTCGCACCAGGAAAGAGAAGTTGAACAAGCAATCAGAAGTCCTGCAAACGGGCTGAACACACAGAGGTCCCAGAATATACCAGGAGATGGTTCTGCCCTATGTCTGAGATGAGACTGAGGGACAACTAATGCAGTACAGGATCCAAGTCCAGGTAACCTGACAAAGCTGCCATTGTCTGCACCCCCAGGCACCTGTGAGGTCCTGCACAGCCCAGGACTCAACCCTCCCAGACATACCTGTCTCAGCATGGATTTGAAGACGAGGTATCGGAGTCGCTTAGTGAGAATCTCTCCAGCTTTTCCAAATGTGAAGCCCTATGAAGAAAGAGAACATGGCACCCAGAAGTGTCAGAGACTCAGCTACCAGTTACATAACACAACAGGGCTTTACAGCATTGCTGAGAAAGCCTGATTTCTAGGCTTTATTGTTTTGTGGCCATGTACTATAGAGAAAGGTACAAGAGAGCAAAGGTGTGTAGCCAGAGACCTGGGCTTTGAAACTGACATTGCCACTCCAAGGTAGCTGGTCAGAGATTTACTGGGAATGCATTTCTCTGTCCCCCACTCCAAGCTCTACTTGTTTCCCCATGAATAGTGGTCTATAGGGAGCTTGGTGTTGTCCCCAAGGCAGGGGGCATTGGAAACACAGGGGCTATATCATGTATTTCCTAACCTGGGCCGATGTGACAGTGAAAAGAACCAGGAGTATAATTTGGAAAAAGAGGTATGTATCAGCACCCTCATCATAAAGGATGCAGAGAACAGTAAACAATTCCTAGTTTTCATGTAAAAGAAAAAGCCTAAGTCTGGGAGTGAAGCAGGTGGAGGTGGAAGGCTCCTTAAGAGAGCATTTTTTCCTGTGCTCCTGTCCTCCAAGGCTATAATCTTCTGGGTTTGGGTAGAGAGGATAAAGCTCCTGGGGAAACACAGTAAGATTTGAATGTGCTTGGCCATGTCCAGGGAGGAAGGACAACAGAATCCTCACTCTCTCACAGGGTTCTTCCTGCTTCCTGGAACTGTGGAGTGGCAGCTAACGGTAAGGCCTGCCCCATGAAGGCCTGGGGAGGCGGAGTGGAAATGGCTATATGGTGCCCAAGAAGGGGAGGGGCCATGATAACAGCCCTGATCTCTCCCAGAATCAGAAAAATAGAGGTGGGCAGTGACAACTACTTGGCATTTCCACCACCATGTTAGGTGTTCCTGAAAGGGATGGAAGGGACAGTGCAAAGGGTTGTGTGGTCTTGGTAAAGGGAGCCAGGTAACTCAAAGGCCATAAAGGGCCATGGACCTCTCCGACTGCCATCATGTATGGAGCACACAGCATCCACAGACCACAGCCTTTGCAGCTAAGTGGTAAGGCATCATAACCGTCTGCTAATGCGTACCATCATGCATGGGGCAAGAAGAGGATAATTCTGTTCTGACTGAGGTTGAAACTGAAGTTACTTAGTGCCCATATTTACTTGGAAATGATTACACTTGGGTTTCAACAATTGGAACAAATGGAAAGTGGCATGGCTTGCCCACATAAAAGCAATTACTGTTATTTATGTAGAGTGCTAGCCTTACTCAACACAGAGCTTTATATACAGGATCTCATTAAATCCTTATGAAAAACCTGTGATCACCCTATTCCAGGAGAAAATGAAGGTCAGAGGAGGCTGGTGAGATGCTAGAGACCTCAATTATAAGGGAGCAGAGCTGGAATTGGAGTGGAGGTGTCTGAGAATCCTCAACAGAATGGAAACCCAGAGTCTGAGCCTTCATCCTCCAGGGAGCTCCCTTCTTGTGCTTGTGAAATGATACTCGGGCACTCCAGCCTTTCTAGCCACTGTGTGGTCTCTACACTTTGGAGGTCCTGACTTCATCAACCATTCTTGCTAAGCAGGCTGTGGCAGGAAAGGCAAACTCAGGCTCCAAGTATTATCCTGTACTGCTTTCCTCCCTTTGCTTCACCTGTCCAGTGATCAAAACTGAAGGGACTGGCTCAAAGCCTACCTACCTCTGTGTTCCTTAACCAACGTGACACTGCCCAGTCTTTGCCTTATCTGAAACCTGCAGCAGTAAGAGTTGGTATAGCAACAATGTATGCAGTGAGTTTATTCCTTCCAGTGACACCAAAGTCCCCAGTGTGATTGTGAATACTTAGTAAAGAAATAGTCTTTTAAAATTTTCTGTACATCTTATAATGTCAAAGCAATATCCTATCTGTTAATGCAATTTAATACATGCTTATAATATGTTAGAGGAACATTCAGAGTTTTAATAATAAAAGAAAAAAATACATGTGGCTTGTCATTCATTCATTCATTGAACAAGTGATTGTTTCCCCTTGCTGAGCATTTGGTTACAAAAGCTCTCTTATACCTACAGGCAACATTATTCCTATTTCACAGACAAAATAACTGAAGCTTAGACAGTATAAATTACCTAAATCAACAAGGACACACACTAGGGTACCTGTACAAGTGACACTCAAACTTCAGGGAGCACCAGTCCCTTCCTGGGTGTATCACGCTACATCTAAAGCTCTACATTCCTTTCCATTTTTATTTTAAATGATTTGCAAATATGACTCTAAAAACGGTTCCTGTAGTTTTGAGGATTGATATTCTTCCATTAATAAAAGAGTTCTTTTTCCTTTAACAAAAGTAGTTAATTGATTAACTTTCCAAACTCTTTTGAAAGCAGTGTGATCTGTTTAGAAAGTTTTGTTTGTTTGTTGTTTATAGAATACAGGAAGATATTTGAGTATTTAAATTGTCCAGTAGTACTTAATCCAAAATGACATCCAAGCCATTTTTGAATTCCCACCTTGCATTTCCAATCATCATGATAGGTTAACCAGTCTATTCCTTCTGATTTCACCAACGTTTCCATTTGGGGATGGAGGAGCAGGGAGGAGATTATTAAGCAAGGAAGTCAGAGGACAAAAAAATCGTGGTTGTTAGTAGCTGAGTGCAGAGTGGAGCAATTGCACTAAAAGGCAAAATATACAGATGTTTACAAATCCCTCAAAATTAATAAAGTAAAAATGTAGGCATTTACCTGTAGGAAAAATGTGATAAAAGAGATAATTCCAAGGACTAGAAACATTAGTGAAAACAGGTTACTGTTCTGTCGTTTTGTTTCAGGATCATCATTTCTTGTAAAAACCTGTGAGAAAATATTGAAAGGTTGTTGATTCGCTCATGAAGAAATCATTAATGTTCTGACTCATTTACTAAGTGGCATGATTTGGGGGTTGAGGGAACCATTCTATACTGTGTGTCAGGATTGGCTTCCATAATGCTGACCTCCAATGCATCTACTTGTATCCTTTCTTCCTTACAGACTGTCACTCATAAATTGATCCAATATTTTTCATGCTCAGTTTGCTTTGTGGGACAGTGAGTGCCTGCTTAGTATATACAAAAGCAATGCAAATGCCTTCCTCTTCCCTTGGTGAAGAACTGTATTGTATGGCAAGTCAATGTTTTACTAGGCAAACATTCCAAACTGTCCTGAGGTGTGTAGAGAAAAGGTGATATAGTTTTGGTGACTACAGACAGATGCCAATTCATTCAGCCCAGGCTTTTCTAAAACAAGGGTTCCAGGGCCAGTTGCAGTGTAAGATGAACAGTGAGAGACCAATGGGGACTATGGCCCACTGACTGAGCACCAGATGTCTTTTTATCATAACCATTTACCCAGAGATTTTAGATACAGACAGATAAACTAACTGGCTCCAACGAGCACAGGCAGCAGGGATGGCACAAAGACATAAACCCAAGTGGTCAAGACCCACAGCCCACTGTTTACAACAGGCTGAATACTGGCTGCACAGCCAACATTTGGAGTTCACGAGCCATCCCCAAGTGACAGAGCTCTAGGCTACTATTTATATGAGTAAACATGAGAAAACAGAAAAATAAGCATGAGGAAATATAAATTCCCTAAACTGAATTTCCATTACACAGAGCCAAACCCATTTCTAAATCACCCACTTCCACTGTTTTCTTCTGGTGGTAGCACAGTCTACTTCTCCTGCCTGCAAGACAAGGGGGAGGACAGGGGTCCGCAAGCTACACGCCATGCTTATACAAAGTTTCTGTGGGATTCATCCTTGTTTGCTTGTTTCCGGACTGTTTATGACAGCACTGCCTCCACAGGAACAGAGTCAAGTATGGCAAGAAAAACCATATTGGCTGAAAAGATTAAAATATTTGCTTGCTTCCCTTCTACAGGCAGAGCTTGCTGCTTCCTGTCCTAGACCACACACTCCATGGTAAGACATGTATCTCCTTGATACTTTTTCAGCATGTATAAAACTATCTGGCACAAAGAAGACATTGCATTATCTATTTATTTGCTTTTCTATTGTTGTACTGGAGCTTGAACCCAAGGTTATGCCCCTTCTAGGCAAGCAATCTACTCCTGAGCAACTTCCACAGTGAAGATATATTTTTTAAATGAATACAATAAACATCAATGTCAACCTGAAATGAGAGAAAGGAGACCCTCACTCAGAAGTCCAGTGAACTGCTCTCACTGGGGTTTGCGTGTGGGCCCTCTCTGCACATGCCCAGTGCCCAGTGAGGTACTGGAGCAGGTGCTCCATGAGCTGCTGACACCACAGTTCGAGTTTGGGCTTTGCTTGTGCCCCAACCTCCTGGAGGTCAGTGACACGGGCAGTCTGTGATCGCTGTTGGTGCGGCCCGTGTCTGGCTCCTCTGTGTGTCCTGAACTGACTGGAGACACAGAATCAGGTGGTCCACAAACTATTAACCCTGCAGTTCCTGTCTGGGCTTGCCTTTACCCTGAACTGCCTGGGGACACAGGTCCACTGGTCCAGGATTACGCCACCAGTGTAACCTGATTCTGGGTCATACACCTGCCCTGAACTGCGAGGGGACAATGGATCAGATGGGCTGCCATCAGCTGACATCATGGTCCATGTCTGAGACCTGGGAGAACTAGATACACTTCACTATCTACTGGAAAACCCCAGACTAAGCAGTGCATCTCAGCGGACACTGAGGGGCAAGCCTGACCACCAGGAAAACTAGGGACACTAGCTGCCTTTGCTGAGCTGCCAAGGAAGAGGGAGACTGAGCTCTCTGCCTCCAGCATCAAACAGGACAAGACAAAGGACTAAAACACAATCTCAGAACTCCACCCCACTCAGAACAAGTCCAGGAGACATCAACATAGGAGAACATGGTAAACACACACCTGAAATTGCTGAAATGATTGCAATGGAAATAAAAAAAACAACTTCATCAGGCCATAGAAGAGATCAGATCAGAAATAATCTCTCAGGCAAAAAATGAAATGACAATAATAATGAAAGAACTCCTCAGCACATCTAAAGAAGAAACATATAAGAAAACAGAAGAACATAGGCAATGGACAGAAACATTAAATGAAAAATATAGAAATGAATTAGAACACATGAACCAGATTCAAAGAAACATCAGGAAGTTAAAGCTTCCATTAAAAGCTGCCAAAGCTGCTTGAATGAAGCTGAAGATAGAATTTCAGATTTTGAAGACAGCAGGGCAACTAGTGACCCTGAAAGAAAGGATCTCTTAGAATCAACAAGTAACCAGGAAAAGTCAACTCAACAGCTGCAAGACAAGGCAAAGAGGAATAATGTACGACTAACAGGAGTCAATGAAACAGCAGGAGGCAACACAAATGACATAAAAAGAACATTTGCAGAAATAATGGCAGAAAATTTTTCAAGTATGGAAACAGAACCTGATATACAGGTAAATGAAACATATAGAACTCCAACCAACCACAACCAAAACAAAACTACACCCAGACATATAATAGTCAAGATCCCAGATCTTCAGCAAAGGAACAGAATATTAAAAGCTGCTAGAGAAAAGAAACAGATTACCTATAAAGGAAAGCCTATCAGAATCACGGCAGACTTCTCAACACAAACTATCCAAGTGAGAAGAGCTTGGAGTGAAGTATTACAGGTCCTGAGACAGAACAGCTTCCAACCAAGATTGATGTACCCCGCCAAACTATCCTTCAAATTCAATGGAGAAATCAAATATTTCCAAGACAAAGAACAACTGAAGAACTTCATGAGTGCCAAACCATCGTTGCAGGGAGTACTAAAAGATATCCTAGACAGAGATAAAAATGACTGCATTTTCAAGAACAACAGTAGAAAGGAACCGTCAACAAGAGCAAGGAATTAAAAAGGTAGGAAAAGTAGGAAACCAACAGCAAGTAAATAACATGACAATGATAAGTCAACACATATTGGTTATAACCATACATGTAAATAGCCTCCACTCACCAGTCAAAAGAAACAGACTGGCAGAGTGGATTAAGATACAAAATTCAAAGATATGATGCATACAGGAAACACATTTTACTCAAAAGGAAATCCATACACTGAAAGTCAAAGGATGGAAAACAATCCTTCATGAAACAGGAACCCAGAAAAAAGCAGGTGTAGCTATTCTGTTTGCAGACAATGTAAACTTCAAACCGACAACAATCAAAAGAGATAAAGAAGGTCACTACATACTAGTCAGGGGAAAACTGCAAGAGGATGAGATAACAATCACAAATATGTATAAACCAAATATTGGAGCTCCAAACTATATATATAAGACAAATCTCAACAGACATGAAAACCCATATAATTAATAATACTATTGTAATGGGGAACCTCAACACCCCTTTGACACAAAGAGATAGGTCAACTGGACAAAAAAATCAGCAAAGGAATAACAGATCTGAACCAAAGCTGTGAACAAATGGACTTAGTAGATGTATACAGAGTGTTCCACCCCACAACATCAGAATATACATTTTTCTCATCTGCACATGGGACTTTCTCTAAAATAGACCACATTCTAGCCCATAGAGCGTGCCTACTTAAAAGCAAAAGAAGTGAAATTACCCCATGCATATTATCTGACCACAGTGCAGTGAAATTGGAAATTAATGACAAAGCAACTCCAAAAACTCCATAAACACTTGGAAATTAAAGAACAACCTCTGGAATAATCAATGGGTCACAAAAGAAATTTTTTTTTTTTTTTTTTTTTTTGGTTTTTCTCCGGTACCGGGAACTGAACTCACGACCTTGCGCTTGCAAGGCAGGCGCTTTGCCGCTGAGCTAAATCCCCAGCCCCAGTCACAAAAGAAATTAAAGAAGAAATTTAAAAATACCTACAAACAAATGAAAATGTAAATACAACTTACCAGAATCTGTGGGATGAAATGAAAGCAGTCCTCAGAGGGAAATTTATAGCATGGAACTTACACATAAGAAAAACAGAAAGAGAACAAATAAATAGCCTAATGCTATCTTAAACTTTTAGAAAAAGAAGAACAAGTCAGGCCCAAAGCCCAAAGAAGGGAGGAGATTACAAAGACCCGGATAGAAGTTAACATAATTGAAATGAAGAAACCCCTCCAAAAAATAAATGAATCAAAGAGCTGGTTCTTTGAAAGAATGAATAAAACTGATAAACCCCCAGCCAACCTTATCAAAAAAAGAAAGAACTCAAATTCATGCAATCAGGAATGAAAAGGAAGAAATTACTACAGATTCCACAGAAATTCAGAAGATCATTAATACCTACTTTGAAAATCTTTACTCCCATAGGATAGAAAACTCAGAAGAAATGGACAGATTCCTAGATATGCACGAATTACCAAGGTTGAGTCAAGAAAATATAAATATCTGGAACAACCCGATATCAATTAATGAGATTGAAAATGTGATTAAAAACTTACTGACAAAGAAAAGCTGAGGCCCTGATGGATTCACAGCAGAATTTTACAAGAAATTCAGAGAAGATTTAATACCAATACTCCTCAAACTATTCAATGATATTAAAAAGGGAGCAATTCTCCCTAACTCATTTCTGGAGGGAAGTATTATACTGATACCAAAATCAGAGAAAAAGTCAACCAAGAAAGAGAACTACAGACCAATCCCCGTAATGAATATGGATGCAAAGATACTCAATAAAACACTATCAAATAGAATGCAGCAAATCATCAAGAAAATCATACATCACGACCAAGTTGGATTCATTCCAGGAATGCAAGGATGGTTCAAAATTTGCAAATCAACTAATGTTATATATCATATCAATAGAGCCAAAGAAAAAAACAACATGATCATCTCAATAGATGCAGAAAAAGCTTTCAAGAAAATCCAACATGCATTCATGATAAAAACTCTAGAGAAAATAAGAATAGATGGTCTTTACCTCAACCTGACCAAAGCCATCTGTGACAAACCAACAGCCAACATCATACTAAATGGACAAAAACTGAAAGCTTTTACTTTAAAATCAGGAACAAGACAAGGATGTCCACTGTCACCACTCCTGTTCAATATAGTTCTGGAACCATTAGCCAGAGCAATTAGACAAGAGAGACAAGTAAAAGGAATAAGGATAGGAAAGGAAGAAATAAAATTATCGCTATTTGCAGATGACATGATCCTTTACATGGAAGACCCCAAAAACTGCAAAAGAAGACTCCTTCAATGAACCAGCAAATTCTTCAGTGTAGCTGGATACAAAGTCAACATGCAAAAAATATAAGTATTCTTATATACAAACAGCAAACAGACTGAGAGAGAAATTAAGGAAACCATACCTTTCACAACAGCATGCAAGAAATTGAAACATTTAGGAATCAATCTAACAAAAGAAGTAAAGGATCTATTCAATGGAAACTACAGTACTCTGAAAAAAGAGATTGAAGAAGATTTCAGTGAATGGAAAAATATTCCTTCCTCATGGATAGGAAGAACCAACATTGTGAAAATGGCCATACTCCCAAAACTGCTGTACAGATTCAATGCAATTCCCATTCAACTACCATTAGCATACCTCACAGATCTCAAGAAAACATGCCTTAAATTCATCTAGAACCAGAAGAGACCCAGAATAGCAGAAGCAATCCTGGGCAACAAGGACAAGTCAGGTGGAATCACAATCCCTGACCTGAAATTATACTACAGAGCTACTGTGATAAAATCAATCTGGTACTGGCTAAAAAACAAACCTGAGGATCAATCGGAAGAGACTAGAAGAAACAGCCACAACCAAAAACACACTCAGCCACCTAATCTTTGATAAAGGGGCCAAACAAACTCACTGGAAGAACGATAGCCTCTTTAATAAATGGTGCTGGAAAAATTGGCTTGCTGTCTGCCAAAGACTGAAAATAAACCAAGTCTATCACCATGCACCAAACTTAAGTCAACATGGATCACAGATCTCAATATTAAAACAGAAACACTAAATCTATTGGAAGAGAAAGTAGATAAAAACCTTGAAGACATAGGGGTAGGTAGAGAGTTCATGAACAAAAACCAAACTGACAGTGAAATGCTTCAAAGAATCAACAAGTGGTATCTCGTCCCACTGAAGTTTCTGCACATCTAAAGAAATCACCAGCAGAGTAAAAAGAAAACCCACCAATGGGGGAAAAATTTTAGGTGACTGTCCCTCAGACAAACATCTTCTATCTAGAACATATAAAGAATTAAAAAACATCACCCCCCCCAGATTCAAAGACCCAATCCAAAAATGAGCAGCTGAGATGAATACACACTTCTCAGATAATGAAATACAAATTGCAAACAAATACGTGAGAAAATGTTCATCATTAGTCATTCGAGAAATGCAAATTAAAACAACACTGAGATTTCATCTCACCCCAGTAGAAATGGCTAGCATTAAGAAATCAACCAAGAACAAATGCTGGCGAGGCTGTGGAGAAATAGGAACTCTTCTCCACTGCTGGTGGGAATGCAGACTGGTGAAGCTACCATGGAAATCAGTTTGGAAATTCCTCAGCAAACTAGGTCTAGAGGTCCCATTCAATCCAGCTATTCCCCTTCTGGGTATTTTCTCAGAAGATCTCAAAACATATCACAGCAATATGTGTGCGCCCATGTTCATAGTGGTGCTATTTATAATTGCTCAACTGTGGAAGCAACCGAAATGTCCATCCAGTGAGGATTGGATAAAAAAATTTTGGTGCTTCTATAAAGTGGAATATTACTCAGGTATAAAGAAACATAAACTCAAGGCTTTTATAGGTAAATGGTCACTAGAGACCATTTTCATAAGTGAAATAAATCAGACCTGCATGTGTAAGCATCATACTGTCTCACTAGTGTAAGAACCTGAAAGAGTGAATAAAAACTAGGAGGTATGATAGACATTGTGAGACAAAAGAAAATTGCTCAAAAGTAAAGGGCAACTGGGGTGTGGGAAATGAGAAGGGAAAGAAGGGGAAATTATGTAAGTATGTATATACAGGAGAGCTAACATAGTTGTACTACTGTCTTCTATTGCTCTACAGAAAAGAACAGTTAAGGATTACTTGTTTGATTAATCTTGTATGTCTCTATTTTTTTCCTGAGAAACCAATTTGAAGATATCATTAAGTAATACAACAACCATGGTTAATTTCCTACAACATTGTCTGTAACACTGTTTTGTTGTATTGTTCTTATGCTATTTTGTAAATGGATGTCTGTTTGTTAATATGTTTTCCTTCTTTTATTTTTTAAAATAAAATGGCAAATGAACCTGAAATGAGCAGTCTCCAGTAAACTGAATAGTTATGGCATTTTTTTGTTATAAAATAAAAATTTGTTGTTTCATTTATGTTTCTTTTGTGAATCAAGCTCTCTCTACAAGGTTTTCAACAATATGGCAAGGCGGTCCTTGCTTTGATGGTTGAAAATCTTTCACTAAGCAGAGAACTTATTTGCCCAAGCTATAAATTTATTACTGAAAATGCCACTGCTAGAACCAGTGGACCTAAGTTTTCAACCTCAATCTGTAGTAGGAAACTGTTTCCTTTTATTTCAGTCTTTGCAAGTGGCATTACTATTACATCTGACAGCGGTAGCTTGCTAAGCCTGGTCATCGTGTCTTGGCAAGGGAGTATGCTACAGCTCAAGTTATTCTCAATCCCATCTGATGAACAGCTGAGGAAGTCCACTGTATACTAGGGAAGGGCCACAGCTTTTGCTCAGAACCCAGCAATGGCAGGAATGGAAAAGTCACTTCACCAATGCCACTGACTATTTCAGGGACCTGGCTCCCAGGGCCTAGAATAGCGACATCTCAGGGCCCTGGATAGAAATCATGACAAGTAGAGTTGACAAAATTGCTCTTCTCTCAGAATCAAACTTCTGTTTTACATTTACTAACTGATTGATTACATATCAAGCACATGTTTGGGGGGCTATGTATGCTAGGACAAGAACAAACAGTTCTTTCATTCTTGAGTCAGGACTCAAAAGCAAACACACAAACAGACATAAACACTTACCCCAATAATCTTTGAAAATATTATTGCAAATGCTGGTTGCATGCCTCCATTTATAATGGCACAAATCACACCAACCACTAAATAAGGCCATTCAGTTAAACTCAGCTTCAGAATTGTCCAAAAGGATACTGGAGGTACATTTTCATCCTAGATAATATAAAAGATTATAACAAGCTCATTACAAAATGGATGAATAGTTGATTTGATGGGGTATAATTCTTTTATGCACAAATTTTTAGAACAAATATATCCTATCCTTATTCCTAGTCAACTGGTAGCTATTTAGCTTTTAAAAACTACTGAAAAATTCTCTAATGGTGCCTCATAGTTTGTAAAGCAGTAAAGGATGTATCAATAATTATTTAATTCTTGGTTTACCATTGAAAATATAAGATTATTAACAAGTAGAGATAAACAGAATAGAAATTTTAATATCTGAAGAGCCTCAAAGGTCTTCACCTTATAAACTTGAAATCTCACTCTTTCTATAAATTTGTTATAGATTTGGTATAGACCTTTAAATTCCAAACTGATTCTAAAATGTTAACATTTGGGTTTGTGGAACATTCTGGAAGATTCTGGAAAATCACTGCTTGTTCTTACTCCTACCCTGGCACCAGCACCAGCCCCCAACAAGAGAGTGATGGGGGCAAGGTTCAGTACATAAAACTGTACATCCTCTTTTCCATGGTGGGTGTACCAATTTGCAGTCCCACCAACAGTGAAGAAGCATTCCTTTTTCCCCATAGCCTCACCAGTATTTGTTATTGGTTGATTTCTTGATGATGGTCATTCTTTCTGGAGTGAAATAGAATCTTAATATTGTTTGAATTTGCATTTCTCAGATAGCCAGAGATGTTAAGCATTTTGTCATGTACTTATTGGTCATGTGTACTTACTCATCTGAGATGTGTTTATTCATTTTAGATGCCCATTTTTGATTGGATCTTTAAATGTAGAGGGTCCAATGTTTTTGAGTTCTTTATATATTCTATATATTAGTCCATTATGGAAAACAGTATGGAGATTCCTCAAACAACTAAAAGTAGAGGTTCCATTTGACCCAACTATTCCCCTTTTAAGTATCTTCCTGAAAGAGTTAAAATCATCATACACTAGTAATACATGCATACCTAGGTTTATAAAAGCACAATTTATAATAGCTAAATCTTGGAAACGGCCTAGATTCCCATCAATGGATGAATGGATAAAGAAAATGTGGTATTTATACACAATGGACTACTACTCTGCTATAATAAAGGATAAACTTGAGATATTTTAAGGTAAATGGATGCATCTCGAGACCATAATCTTAAGTGAAATAAATCAGACACTGAAGTTTAAATATCATATTGCTGCGCTTGTGTGAGAAACACAAAGTATACATAAGGAGTAAAATGGAAGACACATACTAAGAAGTAGGAAGAATTTTTTCATATTCAAAGGGGAACAAGAGATGGGGAAGGGAGAGGGAAGATAAGGAAAAAGAATGTAAAGAAAAAAAGGAAAAAATGTACCTGGGGAGGGGAAGAAGGGTTGGAGGGAGCAAGGGGATAAAAAATTACTGAGTTGTGTTACATACATGTATAAATCCCCATGATGAATGTGATCATTATGTAGTGCAAACATGTACAAATAAAAATAAATACATTGAAAAAGAAACTCTACGTTTTCCTCCATACCAGGGTCTCCTCTGTGCTGAGTTTTCCGTCTTGGCCTTGTGGTTCACGCACACTCCTCCGAGTTGATCTTCTTTTTAGACTGGATCTTGACTCTCTTGAAGACACAGCCAAGGCGTCACTTTCACCTTTGGATTCACAAACTTCATTTTCTAATTCACTATCATTTCCTTGTGTCTAAAACAAACCAAGAAATATGCATAAGCTGGTTAGACTCTGTTAATGAATGAAAGTTAATTACCAAACATTAGATACAAAGGAAATTATAATCTAATTAACTACAGGAAAGAATGACATTAAACTGTTATTTCTTTCCTGTGTTATATACTAGAAGATGAAAACCAATAAATAAAAATTCCCCCTTGATGTGCTGAAGGAAAATGAAATCCCTTCTGCGTGTCTTATCTAATCAAGTCTTTTCTGTAGGTATTTGGTTCAGTCAAGTTTGCTATGGACCAGGGAATGTGGTACAAGCTATCATGTGAGCCACATCTGAAATTTTCTAGTAGTCACATTTTAAAATGTGAAAAATACATACAGCCAATTTTAATTCTACATTTTATTTAATGTAATATACTCCAGATATTCTTGACATCCAGTGTTATTATTTCAACATGTAATCAATGTTAGAAATCCTTGAGTATTTTGCTTTTTTGGCAACAAGCTCTTCAGAGTCTGTTGTGCATTTTCTACTTGCATTTCAATTCAGATTACCCACCACTGAAATGATCAGCAGACATATTACCAGAGGTTACTACTGTACTGAGTACTTCTGGACTTGTTAATATATTTTTAAATAAACTTTATTTAACTCATCTCTTTTCAAAAAAATACATAAAACAGTGGTCTGATGCTGAATCCCTAAACGTTTTTTCTTACTTTTCAACAATTCACATAACATCTATTAGCATTACACATGATGTCAGCTTATCAGCGAGATAATCCAAGAAATTTTCAGAGATTAATCAAACCTGCATTGTGACAAGTTTGTAGTAAACACCCTTCTCTTTCATGAGTTCATCATGATTTCCTTTTTCCACAATGACTCCATCATCAAACCCAGCAATGACATCAGCATTCCGAACTGTGGACAAGCGATGAGCTATCACAATAGTGGTCCTGCCTTCTCGAGCCTAGGAAAGACAAACAGAGATTTTGAAACCATTAACAACTCCATGCACAAAACTCTCTCATTCAACTTATATTACTATGTATGAATGGTCTAGACATTGTAAGACCATCAAAGCTGTGGAAAATGGTATCTAATGCTAATAAATGTGTAGTCAGTGGATGACTGTTTAAAATGTTTATGATAAATAAAAACACAAATATAACATGTACATATTAATAATATGTGTTCCTCTAAGGATTTTACTTCATATCTACCTGTCTGAATTTGCAGTAAAAATAAAGGGCTTATATAGTGTAATAAAACACTACAACTCAAGAACTAACTAATCAAAATAAAAACAGTCCCGAGTCTATATTCATATTTATAAGCTGGTGATCAACCTTAAGAATCCTAACTTCCTATCTCAGAGGACAAACTGGATAATCAAGACAAATAATAAACACGAGGTTGCAAAACCTACACTTCAGCATCATACCAACCTAGATGCAAATAGCAGTCCTGCCATTTATGACTTCTAGGATTTTACCCAGATTTTTTTTGTACCGGGAAACAAACTCATGACCTCACACTCACCAGGCAGGCACTGTACCACTAAGCTATATCCCAGCACTTTACCCAGATTTTTAATCCAATTTTAAAGCCAGCATGAGGCTTAGCTTTTTTTTTTTTTTTTTTTTTTTTTTGGTTTTTCTCCGGTACCGGGAACCGAACTCACG